GATTTGATAGTTTTTTTTCTCTATTTGAAATTTAAAGAAAATATTTATTAAAGATGGAAAAAACAATTACTAAAAGACCAATTTTCTCAGAAAACTGTAGAGACACAATACATTTCTTCTATCATGCCAAAATATGGGTTAGCCACAACCACTATGACACAAGCCAAGTTCTTATTCTTCAAGAATATGAATGAAGAAAGAAAACCACCAAAAGAACAATATAGATAACTAAAAAAAGATGGTTTCCTTACTTCATTCCTAAAAGGAGATCAAATGGATGTGTGTGTTTGGTTTTCACAATAAGCTGAGCATCTGGGACTAGGAATTGGAGCATTTCATCACATGACATTAATACATTAAAATATGTGGGGTGTCAGGGAATAGGATTATGATTCTTTAAAGACAGCCTTGTTAATGAGACAGTAAGGCTTTATACAGCAAATGTCTAGGTTATTTATCACTATCTATAAGGTAATAACTTTAAAAATGATAAAAGGAAGACAAATGAATTCCAGCGCCTTCTATTTTCTCTGTTAAAATCAACAAGAAAAACAAACACCAATTTGGTTGTACATCAACACTTTCAAAGTACATCACCTATACAAGTGGACCAAAAGCAGAAATTCAAGCATTAACGAGCATCAGCCCCTTTGCACAGCTTTCTAGGGCTAACGAAGAGAAGCCACATTAAAATCATTTGACACCGAGCAAAGTCCCAGAAGTCTTTTCCAGGTACTTTAGGAAATTGTGAGGATTTCATAATAAAGCAAATCTTTTCTCATTTTGACGTTTATAGGCCAACGTTACTCCAATATTTACAAGTAATTTTAGTAGATATGCCCCCGTGCCCACGGTATGGACATCTTAGGATGGGTGATCTATATACTGTGTGTTTTTGATACTCATATTTTATAGAGTGCTTGAGGGCTAAGCAGCACATTAAAATTCCCTTTTGCCCACACAGCTTTGCTGGCAAATGCTCATAGCAATGAGTCATCGGTCTGGTTAGAGGTGTTTGGCTTTTGTTACCCCATCAGTACTGGATCCTCACTGAGACTCCTCAGAAATCTTGCTGTTGCCCAGATGCACGGAGCTCCTGTGGCTATGCTTCTAATACAACACCACCACCCCCCACCGTCAATGCCACTGCTGGGTGCCACTGTGTGATGGTTGGTTGGTGAAGGGTGGGGCCAACTCTCCCACTTCAAGTGAGGGGTGAGGCCAGCACAGCATGGCCCTCGGGCAGCAACATAGCTTCAGGAGACAGCCCAGACCACAGACATCCTCATGGCTTTTGGTGGTAATAGGGACCATGAACATAAACCCAGATCCCACCTGTAGTAGGGCCTGAGACAGAGACTAGGCCCTCAGTGGCAGCTTGGCCAAGACATCACATGGCCTCAGGTGGCAGTGAGACCACTCACAAAGCTGTTGGCCCTCCAGTTCTTCCTCTCTCCACAGCACATGAACCATTCTGCTTCTCTGTCCCATTTCTCCACCACATAATCATCAGAGTGGTGCCTGTCCAGCCCTTACCATGGGGCCTCTGGTCGTCTTCTGCCTTAATTTTATTTCATTTTAATGTGCTTTAGTGTAATCTCTGATTTTATCTTACTTGGAATTTATTAAGATTCATGGGTAGATTTGTTCATGTCTTTGATCAAAATTGGAACATTTTGACATTATTCTTTCTATTTTTGTTATTGAGACAGTTTCATGTAGCCCAGACTGGCTTTGAACTCATTATACAGTCCAAGTTGTCCTTGAACATCACCGCTTGACCCTCCTGCCTTACCTTCCTAGTACTGGGATTAAAGGTGTAAGACTTGCTCAGGGCTTCTGTCACCATTTTTCAAGGATCTTTCCACTTCCTTTTCTTTGCCTTTTGTGATTTTTATAATGTGCTTGTCTGCAAAGTAAGTGATGTGTTACAGAGTTCACAGATTCTATTAAGTGTGTTTCTCTCTCTCCTTTTTGGTTTTTCGAGACAGGGTTTCTCTGTAGCTTTGGAGCCTGACCTGAAACTCACTCTGTAGACCAGGCTGGCCTCAAACTCTCAGCACTTGGGATTAAAGGCATGCGCCACCACTGCCCGGTTTGTATCATTTTCTAAACTGCACTATTAGGGTAGTGCAGTGTCAGACAAGGTTATATATACTGGAAGACAAGGAGAGAGACATTTTGTCTGACAGATAATTGAGTTGTGGAGTTATCTGAAATACATGCTTACATACAATTAAAAGTAAAAACTTCAGTCTAACCAATTTGAGTTTATTATTCTATAGCAACCTTATCTCATGAGGTTCCTTCCCTTCTGCTCAGGAACATTTCCTGTGATACACTTAGAGAAGGCCTTTCAGGTTTGAAAGGGATTAGAGAAATGACTGTCAGTTTAAGTATCTGTCTCTTCCAATCGTATTTAAGAGTTCTTTTTGCTGTGGGGTTTTTTTTTTTTTTTTTTTTTTGATCAGAATGGACTGAAACTCATAGAGTTTGCTTGCTTCTGGCTCCCAAGTTCTGGGATTAAAGGCTGGCATTTATTAGGTAGCTATGGACTAGAGTTTCAGAGACTGGTAAAACTGAACTCAAAATTCATGCTTTACAGATGAAGATGGCATGAAATAAGACCTTGAAGATGTTAAGAGTCTTTGAGACTAAAGCAAGAAATCTCCCACAGTGATATTTTAAGCCTTGAAAAAAATATCAGGGAGAGAGATTGAAATTTTGTATGATTTTTGGACAAAGGTAAAAGCATAGGGCCTTCCCAAACATGTTAAGAGTGTTAAAACTAGAATAAACTTTTACAGTCATTCCAAAACACTTAAAAAAAAACCAATAACATAACAGACTGATTGGTCAGGTGGCTTAACCAAAATCACACAGCTCTTCAGCTACAAAACCAGGTCAAACTAGAAACCCAGCTCTTATTTACCAGCGCTTTAGTAGTTCTTTTTAACGCCACGGTCCTATGTACTTTTAGTATCAGTTTATTGTTAATGTACAGGACTTCTTTGCTTTGCACTGCCACTCTGAAGACTTAATGATCATATTCCCAGGTCAGCTCCACCTTTCAAACCTATTAATTGCCTTTATATGGGAAATGCAGTAATTGTCTATTATTTGTGTCTCTCCTCAGTAGCATATTCACGTATGAATATGAGAGCCAGTAATCCCTTTTTGAGGGACAGAATCTAAACTATATAATGTAGCTACCTATATAGACTAAACTCATCATTAGATTCCGTGCCTTTTTTTGTTATCAGAGTTGTAATAGTTCTGCTGTAATTATTTTTGCAGTATTTCTTTTTGGAAGGGCAGGGTCTAGCTGCCCAGGCTACCTTCAAGCTCATTATAGAGCCAAAGACCCTCTAGCCTTATAACCTGAGTTCTGGGATGATAGGCACGAGCTTCCATGCTCCATGTATGCAGTGCTAGAGACTGGCCCTAGGACTCCATGCCAGGCAAACACTCTATAAACTGAGCTACACTCCAAGCCCCTTTGCAGCATCTCTGTAGACTGATAACCACCTCTCAAGTGCTCTCCACACCACCTTCTAATAGATGCCGCCGTTCCAGTTCTTCCTTACTGGCTCCCCTTCCCTTCTTGATTTGACTTGGTAATGTTAAAATGTTTCAACCAGAGAAGTGGCCAGTTCTCTGGATTTGAGCCAACAGTGGAAAACTTTCCTTCGGCCTTACTTCCTTCTTTATTTGGAAATAGGCCAGGTCCTCCCAATGGTCTTTCTTTGTAGTTGCACACAAACTCTAAGATAAGATCAGCGCTGTTAAGTGAAGTATGTGAAGACTGGAACACTGAATAGATTGCAGGCTCTTCTAAAGTCCACAAATTCCTTGCGGATAAAAAAATCAGAGTGAAAATAGCATGCATAAATTTGAAAAATAATGAAAAAACTATTCCTCCTTAATTCCCCATTTAACCCACTGAACATTGTTGGCCATTTGTTGAGTTTTCATTCCTGCCTTGCCCCTCCCCACCTCCCTTCCTTATTGAAGGCTACTTGGAGTACAACCTTTGAGCTTTGGTGTTTCTGTGCCTCCAGTATATACCACTGTAATGTAGCCATAAAAGTAGGGGTGTATCTTTTTCTCAGCACTCAGAGAAAGAATAAACATGTCGTTTGAGAGAAAATGCCTTTAATATGCTATTAAGAAAAAAAATCCAGTTTTTTTCAGAGTCTAGTGAAATAGAGAAACATCAATAGGTTTTACAGTAAGAAAGGGCAACTTCCAGGTAAATGGGACTGTTACAGCTGAAGGTGCATCCTTTAGGTATTAAGAATGAGTTTGGACTTAGCATTCCAAACTGAGGAAGATCCTCCTCTGGAGGCTGAGGTCCTCATCAGCGGCAGTAATTGTCTTATTTTATGTCTTTGGAAAGTGACCTGATATTCACAGTTCATTTTCCAAATCAGTAAGATGGGGTCATTGATACCTTCCTCATAAGTGTGTTGTAAGGAATATACTTTCAAGAGGTCAAGTCAGAAGTGGAAGGTTTTCCCTTAAATCTTTCAGCACTAATTGATGTATCCTCAGCAGAAGCCATAGAACGATAATCTCCCTTTCTGACATTTTCTTAAGGACTGGGAAGACACAGTTCTTATTTTCAACTCCCAAATAGGTAATTGTGAGACCTTGTCTTAAAACCGGAGGCCTAATCTTTGGCCACTTTGATATGTAAACAGTGCACCGTGCCAACACAAAAGCGCCAGCCACCCTACTCACTGCAGCACAGTTTGAAAACCCAGATTGTGTCCTTCTAAGTGGTGGACCACACAGCTTTTTGAGAGCGCAGGGCAGTTTATTTGTGTGGTGACGATCTGCCTTGCTATCGACTCAATTAAATTGGCCTGTGTTCTTCTAGTCTGATTTTATTGTTCTGACAAGATTTGAAATGGTTACATCTCCCAAGTTCTATGATTAGGTATTTGATGGCAGGTGAGTATTATCTGAGGGGAAAAGTGATCTTCGTTTTATTAGCCAGTCAGTGGCAATAGATTTGTAATAACCTCCTGATGCTGTCTTACAAAGTTAGCTTGTTAGGAAGACTGGGCGTTTTGAATTACTGCTTGAAAAGGTATCTAGAGAGAAATGTCTGCTTACTTTACTCCTATTCCCTACAAAGGACCACAAAGACGCTCAGGATCAAATAACAAACACAAGAACACATGTGTACATGTGCCTCTGGGCAGGACTGGGTTTTAAAATCTGTTCACAAGCAAGTTTCTGAAACTGTGAAGAAAGTTGCAAGGGCTCGTGAGTCTAGACTTTAAGTAGCAAAACTTATCACTGAGCTTCCTGCCCAGGCCCACATAGAACAGCGTAGAATAGGAATTATCTGGGAATAGTTTCTGAACGTTAGAGACTTCTAAAATCTCTGCAACTCATTGTGTGTCCACGTAGTTGGAATTCTGCCTTCTAAAGAGTTACATCCAATCTCAACTGCCCTGCTGTTATCTTAGAGGCCAGAGAGACACTGCAGTGGGAAGGGTGCTTCTGTTTCCTGCTCTCGTTTCATTCGGAGACTATGACTTGTTGTATCTCAATTGGCTGAAATCCACGGACAGCGGATGGAGTGGTGAAAAACGTGTTAGGCAGCTCCCCAGGGCTGATGGAGCCAGAGTCACTTTGCACGGAACTTCCACTGTTCTCAAACTGGGAGATTTTCTTCTTGATCATCTTCCTCTCCTTGGCTCTGCGATTCTGAAACCAGATTTTCACCTGAAACACAAAATGCTTTATGCTTATTGGGGACTACTCTGAGTGCGGTCAAACACAGGGACTGCTAGTCTTACAAGGCCCCTTCCTGAACATCCCCTCATTTGAGTCTCATGGTAACCTTGTGAGGTATACCCATTTTACAGGTTCTAAAAAGCTGTGGCGCAGAGAGGGCAGGCGCTTTGCCGGAAATGAGACTGAAATCACCAAATCTAGGTCTACCAACTCTGAGCGCAAAACTCCCTTGCATCCTCTGTCACACAAGTAGAAATAATTAGATAAAGATTGCAAGGACTGCTGACGAGAAAGAACAATTTAAATAGCAAAGGTGATTACAGTCAGTCATTAAGAGAAACTTCCTTATATTAAAAAGTTAACAACACCTAGACCTGAATGAGCAGGGTCATGAAATACCATCTATTTCTTGTTGGAAATCAGCACCAGAGTGGTGTTAATGTGTGGAATGCAAACGGCAAGAGATAAGACTGTGTATTAATGGACTTTACCTTTTTCTATAGACTTCTATGATTCTAGCATCACTTTTAGACTTGAGGGGAAAATCACCAGGTGCTCATGTAATTGCAAATTCCGAATAAGTGGAAACTGCTGACCTTTGCTGTAACTTGATCTTCATTGGGTACTCACAGTTAACTAAATTGAAGGCAGACATCATAACATCATACAGCCCAAAGAGGATTGCGTTCCTTATCTTGAATGGCAGAAAAGCTCCATCCATGGAGTTGCACTAGTGTGCAGTTCCTCTTGTAGTTTGTTTGACTGATAGGGAGCGGACAGTGGCCAGAGTTGTGAAATTTTCACTTCTCCCACTCAGTACTACTCGAGAGATCAGATCAAGGTTTGACTTGATTGTTGAATTGTATTGGAATTAAAATCTCTTTGCATCTCTCCACTCCATCTCTTATTCCCAGGCCCACATGATACCCACCGGTTCAATAGTTAATCAACCCAAAGGCCAATGAAACAACATAGGCTGAGTATGGGTTTAGCGGTGCTTGAGGAAAGCATATGTCCTCTATTTTGCTATTTCCTCCAAACCCTAGACAATTGAAATGACTACATGGGATATGTTTCATAATACCTGTCTCTCAGAAAGGCCCAGGTTAACTGCCAGCTCTGACTTCCTCCGGATGGTGATGTATCTATTGCAGTGAAATTCCTTTTCCAGCTCCAGCCTTTGATGATCAGTGTAAACCACACGATACTTTTCTTTTGTTCTGGTTTTCCCTGTTGGGGGAGAAAGCATGACATTTCATCTTATTCTCCTCCTTTGGAGATTATTTGGGTTGAAGGAACCAGTTACTCTTCTTACTTTCACTTTTTACTTTAAATTTTAAAGCAAATGTATTTTAAAATCCAATATGTCATGTCTATTTCTCCATTAAATGCATTATTATCTGTGGCCATGATATTTATATCTAATCATTCATATATATATATGAAACAAATATCTTTTTAATGTTTCTCCTGAAATGATCAGTCAGATTATAGCTACTCTATTGGCCCACTGCTATATCAAACCATTTAAAATAAATACTCAACCCATTTTCATTCCATTTCCATCCACATGTAAGAACTGAATGAATAGCAATGGCAACACCCACCATGAATTACATTTTAGGCAGTTCTTTCATGACTGTTTCCCATTGAGCATCTTACCTACTCTGTTGAATTATGCAGAAAATGTATTATCCCCATTGTATAAATAAGGAACCCAAGGTTCAGTATACGTAAGTGAATTTGTGCTGGTGAGCTTAGGAGTATAGACCCAAGCATGTACCTTTGATGCCCAGTTCAGTATGCTAGATTTATTCCCAGTTTAAACCTGTTGGGAAGTGTAATTCCAAGTGTGGCAAACTATTCTGGAATCCTGACGTAGTTACATGTGCTACCTAGAAAGAATTTGTATAGTTTGAAAAGAAAATATTCATTGCTATTTAGCAAATTATGTTTCAAAATAGCTCCTACTATTTGTTACAAAAAGTAATAGCTTTCCTGTGGGAGTCTTAAGGCATTTTTATTTCCAAGTGGCTAGTGAATGGGTGAAGGAGGACATGTTGACTTAAGCAGACTGAAGTGAGCATTGCACGTGCTTTGAAAGGATATCCAAACATTTGGCTTGTGTTACAACATTGAGCTAATTTCTCACGCTCTCCTTCAAATGGAGTTTTATTCCTCCTTTCAAATTTTCTAAAGGTGATTAGGAAGTTTCCCTTTCTTTTCAGTTTCTCTAACCCCCTCTAGGATCGTGCTCTTTTTCTCTGTGGCTTTTAGAAACTTCTTCTGATCTTCTCTGGTTGTTTTTGATGTGAGATTTTGGGGGGCGACCTGTAGGACAAAGACTTCTTTAAAGTGGGTCCCTAAACTCCATTGAGGTGTTAAGATGCAGCACAGGCCTAACAAAGGAGCTACATAGCATGGATCCCATCCTGAACCCTCTTTACATTCAGGAACATCAACCAATTGGCTTGGAATTTACAAGCCCTAAACAAATGTCAGACACCCTTTCATCTCCAGGAAGGGGGGGGGGCATAGATGCAGAAACAGATCTAGCTTAGGATTCAACTAAATGGCTCAATATGTGCTACTTAATAAAATGAAAATTCCCTCCCTTAAAATGATGGGTCCCAGCCAATTAACTTGCCTCACAGCCCCGAACTTTGAGCGGGATTTCTGAATTCATAGAGAAATATAGGAAACCAGGGATCTGACTTTGGCATATTCCAAAGACAGAATGTATGCTGAAGGATGAAAAAGGAAAACCTGAGTTCTAATGTTTTCAGAACCTCAAATTTTAGGATTAAAATATAATTTTGAGGAGATATTCCCTAAAACCCTTCCTGATCAAAAAGGGACTGAGTTTAAATTTTAACTTGAAGCAGAGAGGTTAAAATTCAACTTGTGTGTGTCTGTGTCTTCAGTTCAGTCAATTAATCAGTAAATATAACCAGACTTCAAGAACTCTGGAAAGGTTGTGGTCCTTCCCCACCCCCATTGGTCATAAATTCCCCTCTTGCAGTTCCTTCTGAGGACAATAAAAGTCAAGACCAGGCCTCTTTATTTGCCATGAAAATGCTCACCCTTTCCGGCAATATAACCTCCAAAGAAAGGAGCTATGAGAAGGGCCTAGATGCATATCAAAGCTAAACAAGTGTTAAAAGGGGTCTGTAGCCCCAATCTGATAGATAAGACCTAAACCCCCAAGAAGACAGGGGAGTGTACTACCTGCACAGTTTACAAAGAGAAACAAGTAGATATTTCCTGCAACTCCTCTTGGGCTGCCTTCTCAGAATCCCCATTGCCTTTTCCCCTGACGTGAGTGCAGGGATTTGGACACTTTCTGGTAGAGGATAATGGCCACGACTCCATAACTAAAGCCGAACACAAAGAAAGCATGAAGAGTACTTGTTTTTATTGTTTACATTCCTGTTTTTTTTCCAGAGACAATGACATTTTGAGAGCAGAGAATTTCCTTCTCAGCCAATATTGAGAGTTGATTTAGGGATGAAAAAAAGGCGAAGATTTATTGAAGAGCTATTTCCATTTCCCTAAAGGAAGAATTTCATTACTTCTTCTACAAAGATATGAACAAACACTTCCATAGTTCATAGTGCTCCTTCCCAGTGCCCAGGAGAAAGCACCCTCACAGTTCATAAGGCAATGTCACCACATGTGATGATAAGTGTGTTTGAAACTGTGCTTAGTGGAGAGACTCTGAGTAGTCAAAGTGCTATAGGCAGAAAAGTCCTCATGAAGCATTAGTTAGGATCATGATGGAAAGCCAGTTTTCTTAAAAAGGCTGTACCACCATGAGGACTGTTTACCTAATGGCAATCCTTTATGCTTTTAACTAAAAATCACATCCAAATTCATTTAAGAAATTCACCAACAAAATATGAAAAGCCAAGGAAGACAATGGTAAGCTTCAGGGATTATTAAGCAACTCAGTTTGTGAAGTGTCCTAATTGAATAGAACTTTTAATTTTTATTCTCTTAGTGTTGAGTGGCTTAATAAGTAAGAATCAAACTTACTTCCCTTTTGTAAACAGGGCAGTGTCTTTCCAGCTCTGCTTAGGATGGTGCTTGACCAACACTCATACAGGCTCATAGTTCTGTACTAAAGAAAATGAAAAAAAAAAAACCAACAAACCAGATTTGTTCTCATGCACTGGGCATTGTTTAAAATATGAGCCTGTATGAAAATGTTGACATTCATAAAAACTTTTGGATAAGATTTTGTAAAAGCTCTGAAAAGACATGTGTTTGGAATAGAATACTGAGAAAAACTATAATCATCTGGAAGGCAGGGATTTATTCTCCATGTCAATCTCCTCGCTTTCATTAGGAATCATAGCTGTAATGAATGCTCCCCCCACGTTAACTAAAGTCTTTTCCAATTATCTTCATTAATGTACAAACCTGTCATTGGATTACCTTAACCAAGGGAAGGGCTATTTCCAGTTTGCTGTCCATAGATCTTTTCTCTCAGCCCTAAACCACATGTTCTGCAATGCTCCAAGGTGAGCAGAAAGCTTCGGGAGATCTGACTCATTCATTCATTCATTTTACAAACACTTAACCCCTGCTCTGTTTGCTAATCATGTAAAGGGGTACATTTTGGTCCAGAGAGTCCAATGGGGTGATGCCACTTACTTTTGTGGAGTTTATGGCCTGATATCATGAAAGAGACTCAGTGAATCTAGAATCCCAGACTATGCAAAGCATTACTTATGTGTGTACTGTGCTGTGCTCTTATGCATATTCATCATCTTTTAAAATTGTTGATAAATAACAACCTGAGCTACGAGAATATAGCAAACCTATAGCTTCTAAGGAGTTCAAATGAAATAGTTGGTTAACCAAGTCCGAGCAGTTGTAAGATCATTCTCAGTGTTCACCTTTTAAACAACACTGAAGAGAAAACTCCGCAGATGGCATAAGTCAGGTTTGAGGGTTTAACAGATGAAGGTACACAGACTAAGGAGGCTCCTTCTCAACTTCTCTTGGCATCAGAATTATCCAAAGAAAGCTCTGAGATATATATCAGATGAAAGGTTTAAACTCTTGTGTTTTACCCTTATCAGCAGAAAATTCATCACAACATAAATTTTCCTATCATGTCTCTTTCTCCTCATCGTTTTTTATTAAAAGCAACAAACCAGTGGCATCCTTCCCTTCACGTGTTGCAAAGTATGTCTTTTTTTAAAAAAGCGTATTTTGCTTATTATTAGGTTTTCATGAATGGATGTTAATTTTATCCCAAGATTAGATATAACAGCAGCTCTAGGGATGGATGCCCTCCCCTAAGGTCATTTTTGAAAGTGATATGACTCACCCCTGTTTTCTTTTTAATGCTGTCCACCACCACAGGCCTTTAAACAAGCTTGTAAGTGTTACTTTTAACCCTAATAATGAAACTGGAGCTTCCTCCTTCTGGCTGAAAATTCTCCTAGAGGTGGGGCATGGTACCTTCCTATCCTCACACCTTTGCTTTTTGGAAGAGAGAGAAGAGAGAACACGGGATTATGAACAACATAGTTACCGTGGACAAATGCTATTGACCTATGTGTGCTTCTCCAGAGGGGATGGATGGGATAGTCAAATGTCACTATTTTTTATAGTAACGGAGCAAGTATTAGAATAATAAGAAAGTGTTAAGAGAACAACCCCAGCTGAAAACAAGAGAGTCACCCCATCCCTGTCCAAAATTAAAGCTAAGGATCCTTCACTTTCTCTATGCGCCTCTCCAACAACTCCCCGCTCCCAGTGGTTGCCCATGAGGGCTTGCTGGGCAGCGACATTAGACCTTAAACTGGCATCTTTATGCTATCTTGTGTGTTGTCGCTGTCGCAGACTTGCATTCTGCCTCTGCAGTTCGTGGACACCTGCTGGAATAGCAATGAGGGCTTTCGGCACTTATTGGGGGATAATGCTGGTTGTACCTTGGCAGGTGTGAGTGTTGTGTCATAGGAAATGACAGCTCAGTGCTGTAACCTGGCTGCCTCAACGCTTCCCTCGGCGCAAAGGGACGTTGGAAAGTGATAGGTTTCAGACATTGCTAATTTGGTCGAAGGAAGCTGCAGTTTCCTTGAGAGTCCTATAACGGAGACGCTTTGCTTTGGAAGCCTTCAAAGACAAGGGTCGTCGGTTGCCAGTTAAGCACCTACTAAGTTGAGCATCACCAGTTTTTGGCACGTCTGCACACCAGGGTGGGGAAAGATTTGAAGAAAGAACAGACCAGCATCGTAACAGCTTCAGCTCTCGTCCCCTCCACCCCGCCCCGTCCATCACCTGTGCATCTGTTTTCCCATCTGGGCAACGACAGGGTTGGATCCCTACCTTATGGTTCATCAGGAACCCATGTGCTCACTCTTTTGACTGATCCAGAAAGGGTAAATAAAACCATACCAAACCAACCAAAACCCCCAACTATCCGGAAGAGAGGTTTCGTCTCAAGCACTGCTTTTGGCCGGCTTTGAACCTAGGCGCAAAGGCGGGAAGTACTTATTCTGCCAACCGGCTACGCTGTGGGCTGCTTAACAGAACTCTCCTGGAGGGCGGGGGTAGTGAAGAGTAAGAGGGCAGGCGGACCAAGAGTAAAGCAGGGAGGAAAGGATCGGTGCGGGGATAGATTACTTACCGGTCACCTGCACAGTCTTGCGCATCCACGCGTAGGGGCTGTGGCGGCTCCTGCTGGGAGAACTGGCACCAGCGGTGCCCGAGTCGATGGAGGCCAGTGACTCGCTGGCCGGGGCTGGCAGGCTACCGCCGTTGCTTGCGCCACTGGTGGGGCCCAGATTGCTGTAGTCTGGTGAGCCGAAAGCCGGAGAGCTCGAGGTCATGTCGTTAATGGGCACTGTGCCCATCGTACTGGACGGCCCAGGGTATGTACTCCAGTCTTCCCTGGGTGGACTGTAGGGTGAGCTCCAGGCTCCCAGCGACGGCCCATGAGGATCCATGTTAGGCATATGAGGGTACCCCATGTAGTGTGGATAAGCTGGGGCCGTAGTGAAGTTGGAGGCAGGCAGCGGACTACCACTACCCCCAGAGGTACCCACCCCGGCTGTGCTGCCTCCTCCAGGGCTTCTGAGAGTGCCTGGGTACATGCCCGCTTCTTTTTCCAAAAGGCAGCTTCCATACATGATGACTTGGATAGAAGAAGTTGCCCCCTAAGCCATCCTGAGGTCCCTGTAAACTTAGCGCCAACCCGAATTTGAGACGCAGGAGAGAATCAATGGGTCAGCACGAGCTGCACCACTGGCTCCTCTGTGCGTCTGGGACTAACTCCAATCTCCCTTTCCTCCCTCAGGTTTCCAGGTGACTGGTAGTGGGACGTAGGAGGGCCACCAAAGGCTGGGCTGACGTCAAGGGGCTTCAGGCTTTACATAGCATTTGCATTCAAATGAAGGGTCATTTCGCTTCCACAGGATCTTGTTCACTTCTTCAGGCAAGACCTTCTCCGCTGTCTCCCGGTCTTTCTGTACCGTTTTCTGGGATTCTTCTGCTTCCTTAGCACCAGTTTTGCACTTTTGGAGGCAGTTGTTGCTCAAGAGATTTCTGACCAGCTCCTTTAAAAGGAGTCTGAGGCCTGCCTTTTGCTGATCTTCCCCTTCCCAGCCTGCTCTCCTGGTCTCCTCTGGTATGGGTTTTCCACTTGGCACCGACCCATCCTGCCACTGTAAAGGATTTTCCCTTCTTTCACACCCACACACTCCTCAAGGAGGGGGCTTTGTTTCCATGGGCGGATATTTGTTTCACAAATATATATATATTCAGTATCCACTGTGTGTCAGGAAGTGATGTAGGCACTGGGGATACAGCACTAACAAACGTTTCTACTCTGGCTTCCTAAAGTTAGATTATAATTGAATGGAAGACTGATTTGGTTGGATGCTTAACAAACACGCACACTCTAAAGAATAATGAAGCGTATAGATTATGGGAGGGGGGAACAAGTGGATAGTGCATTGTCCGAATGTCATATTAATATACTAGTTTGAGTGTCTCTTTCTGCATCCAAGTCAGTGCCCCAAAGGAAAGGAATTCTTGCCGTCTCAAATCCATGGCAGCTGCAGCAGACTTGCAATTTCCTTCCAAAAGGATGAGCTAGGTAATCATTCTATCACTTATATCCCCAGACCCTTTCATCCATTTAAAAATAGAAGCCCCAACTGTATCTACATTACGAGACAGGGTTCACTAAGATGAGGCGTGTAACCAGCTTGCCTGCTGTATCCATTTATTCACCAGATACATTTTTGATGGCATTCTTGATCAGGTTTTTAATTCAAATAAGCTGTCCCCAATTATTTGACTCTTAGACACAAAACAGATTTTAATAGTTTGTGAGATTGGTTCCCTCACCCCCTTTTTAGCTGGTTTCTTTTCATTTAATGGTTTTGTGGAAGTTGCAGCTTTCCCTGCAAAGGCTTCTTCATTCTTAAAACACCAACAGCTTTCTTTCCTTGCTGACTTTCTTGGTCTGTGGCCCCTGCTCTAAGCTGTGTTCTCTGCACCTGTTCTTTGTAGACGCCTCTGCGCACCCCTTCATATACCCCTCTATGTACCACCATCTCTGTACCCCTTCTCTGCACTCATCTTTCTACAGTCTTTCTCTGCACCCCTTCTTTGTATCCCATTTTTTGCACCCCTTTGTATCCCCTTCTTCTCAACATCTTCTCTCAGCCTTCATCTAATTTGGTTTTTGCTGCTGCACCTTCTTTCTTTCTTCCTTCCTTCCTTCCTTCCTTCCTTCCTACCTTTCTTTCTTTCTTTCTTTCTTTCTATCTTTCTTTCTTCTCTCTCTCTCTCTCTCTCTCTCTCTCTCTCTCTCTCTCACTCTCTCTCTCTCTCTCTTGCTTTCTTTTGTCCCTACTTCTTCTTTACCCCTTCTTTGCCTTTTTTGGCTTGGTGAAGATGGTGTTCTGTTATGTGTGTTGCACATGTGTTGGAATGTGGAGGTCCTTGTTTGTGGGTTTAGCTTCAACACGATTCTCAGGTTCTTAGTTGGTTCTTGTTCAAGTGTCTGATGAATCTTCCTGTGCCGTTGCTCTTTGGCTCTCTGGGCTTTTCAAGATTCTGCCGATGTCTGTATTGATTAACTTGTACATGTGAAGGCTATGGTTACTTGAGGGAAACAGTTTTAAGCCTAGTGGCATACGATTCATCTAACTTTATTCATCTAACTTTCGGGAAACACTGTTAGTCCAAATGCAGAAATCTCTCCCACGCCCATCAAGAGCAGTTTGCTTACGTTAAGCAAAGTAATTCCAAGGATGTTTCTGAAGGTCTTGCTGTCACCACTGTCATTATAGAGGTTGCAGGATCCCTTGAACTGGATACAATGACACTTTCTCATTTTCTTCTTGCCAGCTCTCATTTTTTTTAAGGCATAGAGTTTTTTTTTTTTAAAGTATTTTATTAATTTTTGGAGAATTTCATACAGTCCACTTGGATCATATTCATCCCTCAACTTCTCTCAGATTCACCCCACCTCCTTCCTACCCACCCCACTTTGTGTTCTCTTTCTCTTTGAAGATTTATTATTATTATTTTTAAGTGTGTGTGTTCATGTGCATTCATGTGCATGCGTGTGAGTGCAGGTGCCTGCAGAGGCCAGAGCTGACTAGACCCTTCAAGAGGTTGTAAGTCACTGGATGTGGGTTCTAGGAGTCTAATGCTGGTCCTCTGGAAGAGCAGTATATGTTCTTAACTACTCACTATCTCTCCAGTCCTCCTCCTTTAAAAACCAAACCAAGCCACAAATGAGTCCAGTTTATGCTGACCAATTACTCTTGGGTGTGGTGTCAATTTTTTTGGTGTTGTTCTAGGCTTTAAGTTTCTTAAATAAAGCAGCCTCTATGGCCTTCTTGTAATGTTCAACCTAAGCTTTACCCCACAAAGAAAGTTCAGAAGTGCCCTTAATATGATAACATTTAGACATGAGCGTGCTGGTAATGCTGAAGCAGCTAGGGCAGAGCACAGGACACACAGGTTTGGGGTTTTGTTCACTTTACCGTGTCATGCCAGCTGTTGATTGGGGTACATGGGTGGCCTCCTTAATCCAAATTTCCAAAGACACCTGGCTAGACTCGTGGTTCCACCACCTTGACTCTGGGAATTCCAGCTCCAGCTGTACCAGTATCAGGGTTTAGCACTAACTAGTCTGTGAGTTGCTAATTCAGACAGTACCAAGCTGCCTAATGGTTTGATGCAGGTTGGTGTAAACCTGTTCACACTAACTTGTTGAATGGGAGCCTTTAACACAGTGAATGTACTCAAACTTTTATTCCTTTTTTTCAGAGTAAAGCAATATGATGGAACAAACAACTCATATTATTGAATAGGAAGCACATGAAGATACAAGGCCCCAAACAAACTTGTTTTCAGGTGCACCCTCTTGTTTCAGTCTTTGGCACCAAAGGATCCTGTTTATAACGAAAGTCAAGTGTCCCTTCCTCCAAACTCAAGGTTTTTAAGATCCTAGAAAGCTGGAATCTAGGGTTTTCCTAAGAATACCCAGCATGCTCTCCTCCTGGGTTGCCTCAAAGCACAGAAGCCTATATTGCCTCTAAAATGGTGTCATATAATCACATAAGGCAGTTTCTCACTAGAAACAGATATTTTTGGTCATTGTCCCCTTTTTCTCCTGCATCCTTCCCTACTGGTCCCAGGATCTCGTGAAAGCAGTGAAGATAGAGAAGAACAAGTATTTTGTTAAGTGCTGGGTGCTAAGCTGTTTATGAATAAAGCCTCTGACCTTATTAAGCTTGGATCTTATTTTTAAACATTTATTTGTTTGTTTATTTGTTTTCTTTGTGTGTGTGTTGGAATGCCGAGGTCAGACGACAACTTGTAGGAGGAGTTGATCTTCTGCCTTGTGAATCCTGGAGACTGAACTTTGGTTGAAAAGCTTGTCAGCAACTGAACCATCTCACTGGCCCTTAAGCTTTTATTCTAATGGGATGTTATTAGATAATTACATTTCGTGGTATGTCAAACGGCAATAACTTTTATGAAGGAAAAGAAAGCAATAGGTGATGTGGACTGTTGAAGAGAGATGCTGCAATTTTAAATGTAGTGGTCTCCAAGAATTTCTCTTAGAAATACTATGTGCATAAATCACAAGAGTTGATGGAATATACCATGAGGAAAGATCTATACCAAGGGACCAAGTGGAAAGAGAATGTTTGTGCCAGCGGTGGTGGCGCATGCCTTTAATCCCAGCACTCGGGAGACAGAGGCAGGCAGATCTCTGTGAGTTCGAGGCCAGCCTGGTCTACAGAGCTAGTTCCAGGGCAGGCTCCAAAGCTGCAGAGAAACCTTGTCTTGAACTCCCACCCCCCAAAAAAAAGAAAAAAAAGAAAGAGAATGTTTGTTTTCTATCAGAGAAAGGCTTTGCGGTTAAAGACTACATGAGGTCCAAATGCTGAAGGAGGAGCAAAACTTTGTAATTAGGATTACGATTAGGTTTTTCTCTAAATGAGGTACAGATATTGTGGGATTTGGAGTCGATGAATACCATGAATTGCTTTGGACATTGAATTTAAAATAAAGTATAAATTTGGCATGGAAGAACACATCTATCAGCAACCCCAGCATTTGGCAGGTAGAGGGAGGAGAATCTGGTTTTCAGTGCCATCTTCAGTGACGTAGTAAGTTCGAGGGCAACCTGGACTGCATGAGAGCCTCCCTCAAAACTAATGAACAAGGAAACAAACAAATTACCAAACACTATAAGCAGGCAAGATGGAGTTAGGAAGATCAATTAAATATTTATTGCAACTTTGTGAGTGGCAGTGGAGATGGATTCTATGTATATTTTAAAGTTGTTTCTGAGAAGAAATAAAAAGTAATTGGCCAGTAAAAGGCTAATGAAAAGTCCTGTGCAAGGGAGAAGGACGGAGGCCATTCGCTCCCTCTAGGTAATGTACCTCTAGGTACTCCCCACGTTGCTCTCACTTCATCTTCACCAGAACTCCACAAATGGTTTACTGTTCCCATTTTAGAGATGAAAAGACTGAGGCTCTGAGTTATTCTTCTACTTATTCTATCCTGAGGCAAACTAGTCTACGTGGCATTTGAAATAATACATCAGCACAAAGAGATATGGAGGACCTTTGCATGTCCTGTAACATGGTGG